GAGAGATGGCCGGTATTTTCGGGAAAATCTTCGTGGGAATTTACGTGGAGATAAAACGGAGCGACGGTACGTAGCTATAGCTCCACACACACACACACACACACACACTCCGCTCTCAGCTAGCTAGCAACCCGCTACATCACCGTTTTTTTTTTTGTTTTTTTTTACCGGGTGTCAGAAAACCGTTGGAATGAAATGTTAGCGCGGGAAAACGAGCAGAAATTGCGTCACCAACTGCCAGTTCCACACACACACACACACACACACACATATATATATATAGATATAGATAGAACGTTCCATACAGACGCCGGTTGGTCGGTCAGCCTCGGAGGGAGCCGGCTGTTTGAGGCGGGCGGGTCCCTCCACCTGTTCGGCTACATTAAAGGAAAAAACACCTGCCCCCCCCCCTCTAACTGCACCTCTAACTGCCCCTTCAACTGCCCCTCCAACTGCCCCTCCAACTGCACTGCATCACCCAGTGACTGTGCCTCCCCGGGCCGGTGGATGGCTGCATGCAGTGGGGCCTCTCCCCTCTCTGACCGCCGTTAGACTCATTTATATACTGGATTTATATATTTATATTTTAATAAAAAGAAAGACTGACTGGGTGTTAAGAGGCAGTACATTGCAGCTCTTTAAGGTGTGTGTGTGTGACAGGATGAGTTCATCCATCAGCAGCCACACCCATCAGCATCTCTGGATCTTTTAGGGTTAAACTGTGACTGCAGGGAAATGTGAGGTGGTTTTCTCCTCATATTATATTATTATTTTATTATATTCTCAGTTAGAGATATGTTTGCTTGCATGGCTCATCACATGTGTTAATGTCAGTGGGTTACTGCAGTTTATAAATATATATATATGTGTGTGTGTGTGTGTAAGGGTTGCACAGTTAATCCCAATATTATCAAAACTTGCAAGAAGCTGTGACAAAACATTATAATGAAGTAAAATCTTGTTATCCAGGCTTAAAGAAACGTCATTTATTTGTTACAGAGCCCCGAAAAACTTCACATAATCATGATTTTACTAGTTGTTTTCAGTGAACATTTAATTCAGCGAGGAGAAAACTCTGAATTTGTCCAAAAATGAAGCCTGTTAAGTCTGTGCGATGGTCAAAAATGATAAAAACACATAACACAGACAGATAATTATATAAAAAAATCCCTAAAGAGGAAATAAAATGCTTAAAATCCACACAAAAGTTCACTATTTATCAGTTTTTAATCTAATACAGGTCCTCTCTCTCTGCAGGACGGATACACCAGGCGATGGTCACCTCGCTGCACGAGGACAACGAGAGCGTGACGGTGGAGTGGATCGAGAACGGAGACACCAAAGGGAAAGAGGTACCTGGAAATGGATTGAAATGAGCAAATATCCTGGAAATAATGTGTTTATTTGGATTTTAGCGCCTTACAAACCCGTGTGTGTGCTTTTAGTTTGAAAATGAATTGAAATTTGCAGAATTTTCCTCCTAAATGCACTTAATTCATCTCATTTATAAGATATTTAAAACGTGTACATTGTTTTAACTGATGATGGAAAAACTTTACTTAAATTGTCTCGTTTATAAAGTGAGACGGGGTTTCCAAATGACCTCTGCTGTGAGGAAAAATCAAAACCCGATAACCTAAATGCTTTTATTTTGTCTTATTTATAAAGTATTTTAAATGTGTGCATTGTTTTACTGATACGAGATGAAAGAAATACTGTGTGCTGCATTAAAAAGCCTCTCGGTTTAAAGCTATAGCTCGTCAGTAAATACTGAACCTGGGGAAACATTTCACTGCTAAATAAATGGAATAAAATACAAAAGTAATCCTTACATTTGAAGATCTAACTGGATTAACTTTCTTATTTCAAACATGTTTAGATTTTGCTTTGTTTCCGTTGTGCGTCTCATCACTGCGGTCGTTTTCTACCTTTTCTCTTTACTCTGTGTAACTTTACTGCAATATTTAGGGAATTTGGAAGAAGCTGACATGAACTTTGAATACAAATATGAACAGTGATTATATTAAACAATGTAAACATTCAAAAGATTAAATATCAAAATATAAATAATATCAATTTAAGCAACGGCATTCAAGGTAAAAAAAAAATCAGAATCAGAATTTTGTTT